GGCAGGCCCAGGAGGGGCAGCGGCACCTGGACGACGTGAGCCGGCTGACGGAGGCCGTGCACCGCCAGGTACCCCAGCTGCGCTACGCGCGGGCCGAGCGCCGGGGCGTGGAACGGGCGGCGGACGAAGTTGCACAACAGTTATTGAAGACGCTTCGGGCGCACGGCTTCAACCAGCGCCCGCGCTTTGAGCAGGTGGTGGGCTACCTTGAGCGGAATGAGCCGCTGCTGGATCAGCCGGACCGCAAGGCCACCTCATTCGTCACAAGCCACTTCTACTTGGACGATTTCGTACAGTCCAGCGAGGACCCCAACCCCCGGCCCCTGCAGCACACGCCTGTGCAAGCGATTCCCGAGGAAGGCTTCCACACTCCCGCCAAGGCCACGGACGAGGACGTGCGCCTTGCGTGGAGGTGTCAGGGTTACGGCGGAACCCGCTTTGTTGTGGTGATAGAAATTGAGTTTGCGGACGCGACGACTGCGCTGTGGTCTGAGAACGCCGGGGCGCACCCGGCGGGAGCCACGCTGAGCACCGACTTCGAGATCCTCCTCTCAGGAAGGTCGCTCGTGTTCAGCTACCCCACGGTGCACACGCAGCAGTCCAGCGTCCCGAACGGAGTGGCGGAGCGCAACGTCGCCGTGGCGCGCCCAAGATGCCGCTGAGTGGTGTCAGCCCGCTCGGGCGACCTTGCCCGGTTCACCTTCAAGGGTGGACGGCACGACGACGGACCTGTTCATCCACCTGGTGGCCTACCAGCTGGTGACGGCACGGGCGTCTCTGTGCTGGACTAACAAAAAAAAAGGCCCGCTGCCCTTCAACGCCGTTTTTGGCTACAAGTGGCAGCGCCCAAAAAACCAGCAAAACCACGGAAAAAAGGGCTTCTTCCAGGCTCCCTGGTCGCAGCCCGAAGACTCAGTCCGGAATGCTCAGCCGCTCCGCAAGCTCCGCCGTGGCCGCGCGCGCAGTCTCGTCGCACAGCGCAGCAGGAACGCTGTAGAGCAGCTCGCGTGACTGGCTGACCCTCTCGTACTGCCCCATTAGTCGGGGCCCCCGCTGCGCAGCGCGGAGGTGCCTGCCGTTTCCGTACTTGCAGTGGGTCACGTCCGCCCAGGGCAGGCGCTCCATGAACGGGCGGGTGGCGGGTCAAAGTGCGCAATGATCTCAAGGGCGCTGAGCACCAGCGCGTCGCCCTCCAGGAGCCGCTGTGGCGCGTCGTCAGCGCGCGGCTGTATTCCGTGCAGACCGGGCTGGCCCAAACCATGTCGAAGTGCCCCGGCGGAAACGTCAGGAGTCTCGGCATTTTTAAAGAGCAAGATCACCGCCAGTCGACGACCAAGAAAACTCGCTTCATCGGACCGGACTTTTTTCTCCACGAGATAAAAAGCCAAACTTCGTTGCACTCGGGCTGGACGTTCAGACCAATGCCAAGGGGGGGAAATTCATGTTCATGTCCATAGAGGACTCCCATCAGGGCGCGCTGGTGTGCAAGGTGGACGTGGATGGGTTGTGGACGGAGGAGGTGGAGCAGGGTCAACATGATCGTCTTCCAGAAGCCCTTTCGGGGGCCGCCCACACCGAGCTTGAGAGCCAGCTGCAGCGCGCCGTCAAGGTAAGCGCCAAGGGCAAGCACGGCAAGTGAAGATTGACCTGGAGCGCTGCCTCTTCTGGGACCCGGGCAACCGCGTGCCGCGCCCCGCGGAGTTCTCGCGTCGCAAGGGCCGCGCGCTTGTGGAGGCCCGGCGCGTGTGGCTGATGGGCAGGCAGTGGGGCGCTCTTTGAGGTGCGCCTCATGCTGGAGCCCGTGGAGGCGCCGTGCTGCCCGTTCGGCTAGGCCGCCTCCAGCAGCTCGGAGCTCGTCGCCTTTGAGGCGCCCACGTACAGGTGGCGCAGCGTGCGGTGGCATGACTCCAGGTCCAGGCGGACGCGGTTGTGGAGGGTGCTTCCGCCACGGCCACAAAGACCCCCTTGGGTATCTTTCCGCCGGCCCCTGAGGCGCAGCCCCGGCCACACCCTCACGCTCTGCGGGCTGTTACAAATTTATCACAACCATTTTGGGTCTTATAACATCCCAAATCTATGTGGCTGACTTTGAGGCTTGGGGCGCCGGGCCGGTTGCCGCTGCGTTGACGGCCATGCGCTTGCTGACCAGCGTCCGGCCACCCGGGCTTGGAGGGGTAGAGCTCCTTCCGCCTCGCCTTGGCCTGCTCCAGCGTGAGGCACCCCTCCTCGCCGACCCCGCAGCCACTTCACGAAGTCGAAGATGCCGGGGTCGGAGCGCATGTTCTCCGTGAGCTTGTGCCGGCGCGCGCGGCAGCTGTCGGAAGTCGCCCAGCAGCAAGAACTGTTCAGCCCCACGCAGGCCAGATCCGCCCAGAGCGTCATGTCCAGCTGCGTGATCTCTTCCACAACCACGCGCTGCCCCCACGCACGAACCTGCGGAATGAGTGGTCGGCCTGCGCCCCCAGCCCCAGGTTCTGCGCGGAGCAGTGCGTCTTGGACACCGGTGCCTCTCCGCAACAATGGTCCGGGCCAGGTGCGTCTTCCGGTGCCCAGCAGGCCCGTGAGCGCAGTTGCCCGCCAGGCAGTAGCCCACAGGCGTCCACCCCGTTCCACCTCGTTGTTTGGGGCCTCCATGCGCGGCGCCCTCGCGCAGGTGAAGAGGACTGCCTGCTGACGCAGCGAAGAGACGAAGCCGTTGCTCAGCAGCCGTTGCTCAGTAGCCTCCGCGCGTCCTCGCGGCCCTCCGGTCCTGCGTCCGTGATGTCCACCGCTGGCGGCGGGAGCGGGTCCGCCCAGTCCGGGTGATTCAAGTCCTCCCTGCGTTCCCTGCCTGGCCCGAGGTTCGGTTAACGTTCTGCGCTACTGGCCCCAGATCTCCATGCCTCTCCGCCGCGCCGGGCACTCTCGCTTCGCCTTGAGCAGCTTCGTGAAGATCTCGTGCGCCAGCCCGGCCAGGCGCTGGCCCCGGTAAATTTTGGCCCAGGGCCTCGCACCACCTCCGCAGCCTCGTGCTCCTCTCTCGGATCCTCGTGCCACAGCCCGCAGTCCTGCGCCGGGCTGCTGATGGCCACCTTGGGCTCTCGCCAACGGCCATGAACTGCGCCTCGCGCAGGTCCTCGCACCAGAACAGCCCGCTACGCACTGCCGCTCCAGCCGCTTTCGAAGGCCAAAACCACACGGTGCGGTGCTCCTTCAGCGCCGGGTCGCAGCCCCTGAGCGCATGATCACCGGCGCGTGGACCAGGTACTCGCCCAGCTTGGTCAGCCGGTGCTCTCCGCCCTGCAAGAGCGCACAAGCTTCTTCCGCCCGTTGCGCAGCAGGATGTAGTCGGATGAGGGGCTGGTTGTAGTCGAAGTCCTGCTGGGAGGCCGCAGGCCCAGGTGAGAGTAGTAGTGCTGGCCCGCCCGGGTCAGCTGCAGTTTTTTTTGCTCGGCCGCGCATTCTCCGGGGCATCTGTGCGCAGATGGTTGGGAGCTTGTTTCGCACGGTTTTGCGCTGAAAAAATGCTATTACTCCAGGGTGTACATGTATGTACGGCCTGGAGTAATAGCTCGTTTTGCACGATTTTTGCATGGTTTTTGCATGACATGATTTTTTGCTTGATTTTGGCATGACATGATTTTGCATGATTTTTGCGTGGTTTTTCACGGTGTCCTGCGCGGGACGGGCTTTGTCGCTCGGGACGCCTCTGCTGGGGACGCCTTTGCTGGGGATGCTGGGGGGTGCTGGGATTTGTTTCTTAAACGTTTTTTAGACGAGCTTTGTAATGTATCGTGCTTCGCAAGATCTCGGCTCGGGCGGCAACAGCGGCAACAGCAGCAACAGCGGCAACAGCAGCAACCACGGCGGGCAGCGATGTGGGCCGCATGGTCAGGCGTGGAGCATGTTTTGACGAGCTTCATTTTGTTGGGAAGGGGAGATGTGTCTCGCAGGATCGCACGACGCGGAGGAGGAATGGTGGGGAGCTGGGCACCTTCGGAGGCTTGTCGGAGGGGTGCTTTTTTTTGTGCATTGTCGATGTCTGCCAGGAGACGCATTGGGATCCGCCGAGGCCTCATTGTAGTCTCTTTTTTTTTTCTTGAGCAATCTCTTGTTTGACGGCCTCATCATGCGACTGCGCATCCGTCGACGCCTCATTGGGTTCTTTTTTTTTCTTGAGCACTCCGTTGCTTGACAGGCATCAGCAGCACCCTCCTCCTGGGCGAAACAGGCGTGCAGTGCTTTGCCGACCGAGCTTTCGACGGGGGGGGTGGCAGGTCAGGCCGGGAGGCGGAGCTCAAGGCCGAGCGCGACAAGTGCGTTGAGCTCACGGAGAAGGTGGAGAGGCGATCGTTGAGTGGTAACACCGTCGCTTCGTCGGATTGCTTCGTCAGGTACCGCGAGCAGGCGGTGACGACCCAGGCCCAGCTGATGGAGCAGGCGATGCAGATCGCGAAGCTGAAGGCCACGAGGCGACGACCAATCCTCGCGGCCTTGTCTGTGGAATGCGCCTCGTCGGGATGTGCGATTTTCTTTTTTTGCGCCCGCGCGGCAACGCTCCTTTTTTTTCTCGGGGGAGCAAAGGTCAGCGCCGGGAGCGGCAGAAGCTGGACGCGGCGGCTGAGCTGCTTCCCGCCGGCTGTGTCGTTCACGGTTACCTGGGGGACTCGTTCCTGTTCTCATCGAGCGACGGAGGCTTCTCCGCAGAGGCGACCGTTCGGCATCTGCAGAGTCGAGGACTTTTCTTCACCGTGAAGCCGATGCCGGCCAACGACTCGGAGTATTTTGAGGCCTTGCAGGGCATCGGCATGAGGTGCAGCCGGTGACGCTCGCCGCGCGTCAGAAGGTGCGCCTGGACGCAACGGCCACGGTGCGGAACTGGCTCAAGGACGAGGAGAAGGGGCCGACCCCCCACCTGGACTTGGCGATCTCCGCGTGCCCGTGAGATGGGACCACCAGCAGGACCACATGGAGATCTACAACGCAACGGACGTGCACGGCCAAGTGCGACGGGGCCTGAGGGGGAGATGCTGGCGCGGGCACTGATCGCCACCTACGGTGCCAGGATGTGGCGCCCCGACCCGGACAGCGGGAAGTGGCGACTGCAGGTGAGGGACAACGTGATGCTCTTCCATACGGCCCCGATTCTCTCCTCGGTGGGCGCGATGCTGAGCAAGCTGGACAACGGCGACTGCATGCCGCCGCTGGACCAGGAGCGCCATCGCCACTTCCAGATCCACTTCAAGGGTGGGGACAAGCTGAGCTTCCTCGCCCACCCGCCTCCTCTGCAAGACTTTTTGGACGACGACGAAGCTCTCCAGAGGGCCATGGAGCTGCCGATGGCGCGGACCGGGACGGCCCGTCCCGCGCCAGTTCATGGAGTACCAGCATCCGGATAGGCTCCGCTTGGCTCGGCCCATTCTGAAGGCCATATGGCCTGGTTGACGGAGGGCGGCGACGGTCAGGATGGCGTCATAGGACATTGTCGAGGAGCTGGAAGCGGCGTCCATGGGGCGCGCAATGTGGCGCAGCATCTTTCGCGACCCGCACCGTGGCGCTGTTTCAAGCCAGGCTCATCTTCGAGAGCGTGGTGGGCAAGGCCGTGAAGAAGATCGAGTTTGCGACGCTCAAGGACAACGGAGACCGCTCGACGGGCAAGGGAACCTTGAGGGAACTCTGCGAGAAGGCGGGGTGGAGCGCGGGTACTGCGCAGTTCTTTGCCAGGAGGCCCTCACTGTCGGGAAACAGGAGCGGCCCCGTGAACAGTTCGCAAACCTACAGGGCAGCAGGTTCGCGTGGGTCGACAACTTCGCGCCGAATCAGCGTCTGTGCAGTGCTGTTTTGCGGCAGATCTCCGGAGGGAACACCTTGACGGCTGCGCGGAAGGGCCGGGGAGAGAACATTTTCAGCTTCCACGGAGACTTGCTGCTCTGCACCAACGGCGTGTGGCAGGCCGATGCCGAGTTCTTTGGCTCCGACAGGAGACGCATCACGGGCGTCAAGTTCGAGCACAACTTTGTGGACAACCCGGCACGCCCCCACGAGCTCCTGAAGGACAACAGCGTCAAGCAGAACATCCCTGAGATGTTCGCGGAGTTCTGGTGGGTGGCGCGGGTATTCTGGCTGGCGCCGCATCCCGGGGGAGCAGCGACAACACCATCCCAATCCCCGCGAGCTCAATCTTTCTGAAACAGGACATCACGGAGAGGGCCGCCCAGAGCACTGCTCAACCATCCAGCATGCCAGAGGCCTCGGAGCTAGTGCGGCGCTACCTGCAGCCCTACGTCCTCTCCAAGACAAGGCCCGCCACGTCCCAGGAGGTCGACTCGTGCATCGCCGACCAGCTGTGTGTGAGCCCCACTGCGGTGAGGGACGAGAAGATCTTGATGCGGAGGGAGGGGGAGGTCATCCCCCGATTCGGAGCCCGGACCAGGACGCGGGTCTACGTGAGGCCGTCGCCGCGCCAAATCATGACGCTTGTCGTGTCGGCGTAGCTTCTCAACTTCTGTGCAGGGGGTATGTGCAAAGAGTGCGGCAGTACAGCCCGTGCCCCGTGTATCCGACGAGCTCCCAGCACGGCAATGATCTCACATCACGGCGATTGGCCGTGCGCACAGTCTCAGGCACAGTGTCGTGTGTGCAAAAGAAGAGCCACGCACGCCGTATGAATCGTCGAGTTGATTGATTTTGAAACGTTTTTGCGTTTTTTTACAAGCTTGCGTGTTGCCGGTAGCGCTTCAGCGCCAAACGGCGCGTATGATCCGTCGGCCTGCGCTAGGCAGGGACCCGCCCTGGACACTGTTTTTTTCGTTGGAAGCGGCCCAAAAAAACCAAAAGGACTCCGTCTTTGAGCACTGTCGAAAGTGCCTCCCCCGGAGTGCCAGGCCGTGTGTGACCGTATGACCGTATGATCCGTATGATTCGTATGATTCGTATGTCCGTCCATGGAGCTATCCCAAGAGTCATACGGATCATACGGATCATACGGTCACCATGCATTTTCCTTTCTCACGGCTCAGTCTCCTGCTTGGAGGCCCGATCACGGTCAATTGGAGAGGTTTCCGAGGACGCGTTTAGGGTTTGATACTGGTTCGCCCAACCCATTGGAGTTTGATACTGGTCCGCCCAACCCGTTTGGTTTGCCGAGGACCCCAAACCCTAAAGGGACATTTGCACCATTTTGCGCCACGAAATGCTATTCCTCCAGGGCCTATATCATAGACCCTGGAAGAATAGCTTTTTTGCACGGTTTTTGCGCTACAAAATGCTATTAGTCTAGGCTCTATATCAATATAGACCCTAGACTGATAGCTCGATTTGCACGGTTTTGCACGGTTTGCCCACGCCAGCCCCGCTCATTTGATTGGTTCGCCCAACCCGTTGGTTTCCCGAGCACCCCAAACCCTAACCCAAAAAGGAGATGAGCAGGCTCCGGGAATTCCCCCCCAGCCTGCGCAATGCCTCGAAACCTTTTTTTCCCCGAAAAGGAGCTGAGCAGGATCAATCAATTCCGACGGAGCCTGCGCAATGCCTAAAAGCCAGTTTTTTCGCTCGACCAGGATCAGACAATTCCGCCTGAGCGTGATCAAACATTTTTTTGCACCAAAAAGGGTTTACTCAAGCTTGAACACCTCAAAAAAACCAAAGAAGGCTAGTCGAGGGTCCTCACAGCCGCCGGCCTGCCCCGTCTCGTCGTGAGTCGGCCCGCCGCGTTGCCGCTGCCCTGGACGGTCATGGAGTCCACTGCGCCCAGCTGCTGCACGTCGCCGTACTGAGGGTTGAAGCTCCTTGCCGCGTTCGTCGGCGCTCGGAAGGCGCCCGTTCTCCACCGCCTTCACACGCCGGTCGGTGAGGTCCTTGTTGTGCTGGAACTTGTCTGGATGGCTGCCGCGTTGTTGCCGGAGGCTGCCGTGTTCACCGCCAGGTCTGTTACTTGCGCGTAGGGCGTCAGAGCGAGGGCCAGCTGCCCTGCGGTGACGTGCGTGCCGTCAGTTACCTCTCCGTGGATGTTGCCCGTGACAGGTCCTTCAAACATGTTTACATATGTTTTCGCCGAAATGATTTGGCCGATGGCGCCGGTCAAATCGTGACACAACCCGTAATTGACCTGAAAGCGAGGCCGGCTCCGCGGCTTCGGTCTTGGAGCGAGGCCGGCTGTGCGGCTTCGGTCTTGGAGCCCGCACCAGGCCCGCACCAGGCCCGCGCCAGGGTTTTTTTGGAAGTTCCGTGGCTACAATGATTTGACCGGTGGCGCCGGTCAATCGCGGTACCTGCGCACGACGCTCGAAAATTTCGCCTCGAGACCGTCCTTAGGTGGCGCGGGCTCGGCAGGCTGGTGCGCTTGCCGCCACATAGCACGTGCTCGGCTACCAGGACATGAAGTGAAGGACAACATCCTTCACTTCTGATACCTATAGTGTTTTGCAGAAACTACGCACGGCGTACATCCTCCACGTTGGGCGAGCTCGCAGTGCCAAGCCGTATGAGTATGACTCGGCGATGCCGGGCAGGTGGCGCGGCAGGAATGTGGCGCGCTAGGTATCGAAGCCTCCACGTCGGCGGGCTGGTGCCGGGCAGGAATGTGATGCTCGAAAGCACAAGTGGCACTTGTGCTTTCGAAGTGCCTCGGAACTGGAAACAGGCACCACCCATTTTTTGGTCGCTGCCCGCGTGGAGTTCCACTGCAGACTGCGCCGCACGAAAGCGCGAACACAGAACATAGCACCTCTCTCTTTAGAGGGGGTTTCCCAAATGGATTCTATTCTACCTGAGAGGCTCCTAGCACTCGTCCGTCCAGGAAACGACCTCGTCCTGCGAAGGATTCGAAGTCTAAAACGCTGCGTGGAGGCGTGTGGCTGCAAAATAACGACCCCTAGATATGCGGTTTGGCAAAATGCCCCGCAGCTGCCTTTGTTTCTGCAAGGCGAGCCCCCTCAAAGGAAACCCTGGCTGGCTTTTTGGCTGGCTCCTGGCTGGCTTTTGGCTGGCTTCTGGCTGGGTTTTGGCTGGGTTTTGGCTGGGTTTGGTTGGCTCCTGGCTGGCTTCTGGCTGGCTTTGGTTGGCTCCTGGCTGGCTTTCTGGCTGGGGTTTGGCTGGCTTCTGGCTGGCTTTCTCGCTGCTCTTTCTGGCTGGCTTTCTGGCTGGCTTTCTGGTTGGCTTCTGGCTGGTTTGGCTGGCTTCTGGCTTTCTGGCTGGCTTCTGGCTGGCTTTCTGGCTGGCTTTCTTTTTTCCCTGTTTTTTTAGCTCGCCTTGCAGAAACGCAGCTGCGGGGCATTTTGCAAGCATATCTAGGGGTAGCACGCCTCCACGCAGCGTTTTAGACTTCGAATCCTTCGCAGGACAAGGTCGTTTCCTGGACGGACGAGTGCTAGGAGCCTCTCAGGTAGAATAGAATCCATTTGGGAAACCCCCTCTAAAGAGAGAGCCTCCGTGACGCCGAGCTTGTCGGCCAACAAACCGTCAACTTGTGCGATGGTGTAGTAGCTGAGCAGGGCGGCGGCGATGCCAAAGGACGTTGCCGTGTCCTGGTCGGCGCGCACGCCGCCAGCGCCAAGGTGATTTGGTTGGTTGTGAACACGTCCTGGTCCGGGCCCAGCAGCGCGCCCGTGACGGCCGCCTGCGTCTGCGTGTCCTGCGCGCTCGCCGTGCGGTAGTCTCCCAACAGGGCGTCCACTTGCGGCAAGGTGTAGTCGGCCAGCAGCGCGCCCGAGATCGTCTCCGCGTCCTGCGCCGTGCCCGTCCGGTGGTCTCCCAACAGCGCGTCCACTTGCGAGGAGGTGTCGGCCAGCAGCGCGACGGCAGTCGGCCGTGATTGCTCAGCGCAGCAGAGAGAGAAGTTTTGAGATGCAGGTTGCGAACGACGTTGCTTCCGCGAACAAGCTCCCAAGGAGTGAAGCCCGCCCAGGCCGGCGCGTTGACAACTCCGCTGCCAGAAAGCTGCAGGGCGGCGAGCTCCGCGAGGATTGCGTCAAGGGCGCTCTGGAGCGTGGTCTCGCTGGCTGAGAGCGCGGCGTTCGTGGCGCACGAGGCCAGCAGCGTCGCGTCGGCCTTGGCCCCCTGGAGCGCCGTGATGCTGGCGTCCCGGCTAGCAAGCTGCGCTGCGACGAAGGCCTCGGTGGCGAGACCCAGCAGGGCATTTGCTACAGTGGAGTGTCCAGCCCGTCCACCATGGAGAGCAGGGAGGCCAGCGCGCTGGCGTCCGCCTTGCCGAGGAGGGCGGCGTCCAGGGCTGCCGTGGTGACTGCGCCCAGGAGGGCCGCCGCTATCTTAGAGTCCACGCGGTCAGCGCGCTGGCGTCCGCCTTGGAGGCCTGCAGCCCCGAGATGGAGGCGTCTCGGCTTGCAAGCTGAGGCCGGCTCCGCGGCTTCGGTCTTGGAGCGAGGCCGGCTGTGCGGCTTCGGTCTTGGCTGGACAAATCACCGAACTTTTCGGCAGTTCACGGAAAATTTCGCCTCGCGTCCTCGGGCGGCGCGGGCTCGGCAGGCTGGTGCGCTTGCCGCCACATAGCATGTTGCTCGGCTACCAGGACATGAAGTGAAGGACAACATCCTTCACTTCTGATACCTATAGTGTAGTGCAGAAACTATGCACGGCGTACATAGTTTCACCGGTCACATAAAAGCGTGCTACAGTCCTCCTTCCAGGGGAGGACTGGAATTTTTTTCCTTGGAAGAATTCCAACCTCGGGTGGTGCGGCCGGGTTGAGGCTTCTATGCCGGGCAGGTGGAGGCTTCTATGCCGGGCAGGGATGTGGCGCGCTCGGTATCGAAGCCTCCACGTTGTCGGCGGGCTGGCGTGGCTCCGATGCCGGGCAGGTGGTGCGGCCGGGTGGTGGAACGAACGAACCCACTTCGAAAACATAAGTGCCACTTATGTTTTCGAGCGGCGCGCTCGGTATCGAAGCCTCCACGTCGGCGGGCTGGCGCGGCTCCGATGCCTTTCAGGAATGTGACGCTCGAAAGCACAAGTGGCACTTGTGCTTTCGAAGCGGCCGGGCGGGAGGCTCAGATGCCGGGCAGGTGGCGCGGCCGGGAGGCTGCGATGCCGGGCAGGTTCGCCGAAACTGTCGGCTTAGACGACAGTTTCGCAAAATTTTCGTTTCCTGGTTCGCGGGGCCCAGCAACGCCCATCGTGACGCTGCGGTAGGCGGTGCTTTTTTTTTTAGAGGGGGTTTCCCAAATGGATTCTATTCTGGAGCCAGTGTCCGATATAATCGGACACTGCTTCGTAGTTGGTGATAACATATGCGACATCATCAGCTGCGTGCCTGGCACGCTAGGTATCTCCACGTTGGCGGGCTCAGCAGGGCTCCGATGCCGGGCAGGCATGTGGCGCGCTCGGTATCGAAGCCTCCACGTCTCTTGAAGGCACAATTCGCCATTGCGCCGCATAAGCAGTTTATCAACGGCCAGCCGGCCAGGGTTTTGATAGAGGCCGGCCCCGATGGCCATTTTATCAAGGCCAGCTCCCGTGGCAACTTTAGCAAAGCCTAATA